TGCCCTGCTCTCTGCACAATATCCAACTCCATTCATAAATCAAATCTGTCTTTGCATACTGCCATATTTAAGAATACAAATGAGTATAAATAAAAGTTGTCGGTACCAAACTGTGCACAAAGTTGTTTAACATAGAAACAAGACATTTTTCACCAATCATCTGTTTGATTTCTTTGCCTTCCGCTCTGTATTTGTCAGCCTCTCTCTGCCATGCGTGGAGGAGGTGGAGTCCGTCTGCGAAGAGACTTGCGGGATTCAGTGCCCTACGAGGCCCAGATGATGTCTTACCCCGCTGCTGACTTCAGGAGGGGAAGCAATGATCTGTACTACCAGCCAGAGGTCTTGAGAGCTCGAGGTCTTGGACAAGCCCTCCAGCGACTGGTGGAGAACGATCAGAGGCGGGAACAGGAAGCAGCTTATCTGGCGTCGATGCTGCGGCTCCTGAACGAGGCACAGAATAACGGACAGGGCAAACCTGAGGAAGAGGAGGAGGAGGAGGGTAATTTCCAGGGCCCGTACCCTCCGGACTACGATGAGACCGAGCAGGCCGTGAGCATGGCCAAGCCTCAGGCTTCATGGCAGGGCCTTCTGGATCCTCAGCTTACTCAGGCTCTACTCAACCGCTACAAGCAGGAGAGACTGATGCAGGCTGGACTCGCTCCGAACACCAACAGGATTCCTGAGAGAGAGCAGGACAAAGACCAAGAGATGCTCAGGTAATGAAAACATGTCATTCGCAAAGAGAACAGTACCTCAGATGCAGGGTTATAATAACAAATACTATTAAAAACATTTGAATTGAATTCTTTTTTTACAGTCTAGGATTGAAATAAAGCTAACTAAAATAAGCTAAAACACTAAAAGTAATAACTGTAAATAAATAAAAACTACAACTGAACTAACCCTAACCGAAACCCAAATAGAAAAGCACAAAAACAAAATTACATGTATATGAAGATATTGTACAAAAGCTAATCAAAAATTCTTAATAAAAATATAAATATTAGATAAAAAACTTAAACTAAGATTAGAAATAATAAAAATGACAAATGCATAACTAAATTACAACGAATACTAACACTGAAATGAAAATGAAAATTGAAAATGAAGAAATCAAAGAGCATTCAAAATATTAATAATAGCCTAATATAAATATTAGATGTAAAACTAAATAGTAATAAACACTAATAAAAAAGACAAAATACACAAATACATTTATTAGATGGAAAACCTAAACTATTAAAAAAAACTAATGAGAAAAGCACATAAAATTACTAAAAAGGTCATTTAAAATATTAATAAAAATTAGAAACAATATAAATACTACTACAATTATACTGTTCCAAAAAATGCAGTTTATTAAAAAAAAAACATTAAGACAACCTTTTTTTGGGCAATAGCATATGAATTGTGCCATGTTAATTTCAAGTTGTCTTTAAGCAAACATACTACAATTTTTATGTATTATTAAAGGTACCTTGTTGAGAAGATCCTCTCCAGCTTGGCATCGGGTGGCAATCAGGGAGGCCCTTCAAACCAGCGTGCTAAACGGGACCTGAGCGCTGTGGCCAACATGGAGCAATCTCTAGGACCCGTCCTAAAACGCTCCCGCCGGTCCCTGGACTCCGCCCCTGGCCCCTCCCCCCAGGTCGAGGCATCGCTACTGAGGGTGAAACGGCTCGATGACGATGTGGACGACGACGAGGTCGCAGGGCAGAGCAACAGAACACCACACGTCGGCCTGCAGAGAATGAAGCGCATAGACACTGACCTGCCGCCCCCCAAAAAACACAGCCGCAAGCGCAGAGCCCTGACCTATGACCCCGCTCTGATCGCACAGCACATCCTGCAGTACCTGCCAGCCTAAAGAGTACGAGAAAGTGAGAGGAATAACAAGGAAACGTTTAGGGGAAAATAGAGGAAAATCTAGACAGACAGAGGGACTGCAACATTTTACTTGCTTACAGATACGCCAGCGTTCATTGTCATCTGCCTAATTCTAATCAAGGCCTGCTTGCCGAGGTACTTTGATATGATGTTGCTCTGTTTCAATGTTATACTATAATAAATCCCACACACATAACAGCTTATGGAATATGCTTTTTGTTTATCTTCTTTCTGGCTACATTATACAGTATGGAAGGCCTTTTCTGCCCAAAAAATTTAAAAGGTAATGGATCATATCTCACAATTCTAACTTTTTTCTCAGATTATATCTCAAAATTCTGCCTTTTTTCTCAGATTTCTGAGTTTACATCTCACAATTCTGAGTCTGATTGCAGGATATAAACTCCCAGTTCTGACCTTCTCGCAATTATGTGTTTTTATCTCACGATTCTGCCTTTTTTTTCTTTCTTAGAACTGTGAGGTATAAACTCGCAAGTTTATATCTCCCAATTCTGACTTTTTTCTCTGATTTCTGAGTTTACATTTTGCAATTCTGACTTTTTTTTCTGAGAATTGCTATAAAGTCAGAACTGTGAGATCGTAAGTCTCAGTTACCTTTTTAATTTTTTCATTCCATAGTACAGGCATTAAATAACCTTACTGACATGGAAATTAGCATCAGTTACTGGCTTGCACAAGCAGCTCATCGCTGTTTTTGTCAGAATCAACAGGATCAAGGTCACACTAATCTTTATTACAGACTGAGATGGTTTTAAATGACGCTTCACTATAAATAAGATCTGTTGAAATGCTGTTGATAACTCACTTGGTCCTTAAAAACAAAACCACAGCTTGACCAGCATTTAGGTGATGTTTTGTCACCCAGAATCCCTGAGTTTCTCAACAGCTGAAAGCAGCATGACTGTGCTTCTACAGAGATCCAAATATATCCGAGTTTTGCTACAGCTGTCAGTGGGTTTGGAGACACTCTGATTCATATTGTGAGCAAAGCAGCAGTAACTATAACAGCAGGCTCACTCTGTATTTCTGCTGTGTAACTGAATGGCAGCTCTATATGGAAAATAAAGTGATTTCTGGGATGCTATATTGATTTTTTTTTTATGTGATAGCCATAAATTAAATAGTTATCAGGAGTAGGCCATTGATAATTATAAACATTATATAATCTAATTTACTTAAACTACTGTTCAAAAGTTGGCGGTCAGAAATTGGTATTTTCATTTACATTTATTCATTCGACAAGCTTTTCTTCAGCAGGAATGCATTAAATTGATCAAAAGTGAGAGTAAAGACATTTAGAATGTTACAAAAGATATCTATTTCAAATCAGTTATTTTGAATATTCCGTTCATCAGAGAATCCTGAATAAATGTCTCATGGTTTTCACAAATTATATACACAAAATAAGAGCTGTTTTAAATTGTAATAACATTCCACAATATTAATATTACTAATTTACTGTAGTGTTATGAAATATGCCTTGAGCAAAATAGACTTCTTTCAACGTTAAAAAAATCTTAAGACTCCAGCATTTTGAACAGAAACATTTAGATCCAAATGGCAATGAATCTAAACCGAACATCTCAAACTGCTTAAATAATTTATATCAGTCTATTTCACTTACTGTGTGAAACAGGCCTTATACGTTATATTTACAGATTTGTGAATCAGATCAGTTGATTTTTTGACATTGCTTTTTTCTCTTTTCTTTCTTACAAATGATTGAGAAACAAAAATGATTGAAATCTATTTATTGCATAATATATCTGGTACAGGTTGAAACAGCACAGCATCAGATCAGCCTGTCTAAATGTCAAACCTGCTCTAAGTGAGTTTCCCGTCCTCTCTTTCTCTGATTGGCTGTCTAAAGTGGTGTACCATCTTCTTAGTGTCATCCTATTCAAGCTTGATGAAGTGTATTTTGTCCCTTGACTTGGCTTCGAAACATTCTGTCTGATACTAATCACTGTCCCAACTTCTTGCCCTCTGGGTTTGTAATCTGACAATTATGAATTTGTGAAGGAAATCGTGGTTCTTAGTATATTTAAATGCTTTTCGATATTTGTGCAGTTATAAAATCTTGTACAAAAATACATATCTCTGCACTGCGAGTTTTGTCAAACAACAAAAATCACTGTAAGTGCTAATAAAGTGTATGTGAACACCAATATTTTGTTTAGAACTTTGCATTGCTTTTACAGTGGAAGTGGGTTAGAAATGACCTCACATTTAACATTTAATGCAACAGCTTGATCAAATCATAGCCTATTAGAATTGCATCTAAACATCTAAGACAATGGCTGAAGATAATTACAAATACAACAGTGGCATGCAGCGGAAGTTGCAATCAACTTTATTACCGTATTGTAAAGTATATCCATGTGAAAAGAGAAAAGAGGCAGATCTTAAAGGAATAGTTCACCCAGAATTTAAAATTTGCCTTGGATATCCTCAGGATATCCAAGATGTAGATGTGTTTGTTTCTTAATCAGAACAGATTTGGAGAAATGTAGCTTTGGATCCACCAATGGATCCTCTGCAGTGAATGGGTGCCGTCAGAATGAGAGTCCAAACAGCTGATAAAAACATCACAATAATCCACAAGCAGTTCACATGAATCCAGTGCATCAATTAACATCTTGTGAAGTAAAAAGCAGTGAGTGTCTGTAGAAAACGTTAAGGCATTTTAACTTTAAAATGTTGCTTCTGGACAAAATACCAGTTCATAATCCATAATAATGCTTCCTTCTGTCAAAAAGTCCATCTCCAACAAAATATTTGTTTAGAACTGTTTTCGCTTTTAAACGCTTCTTTGATCTGTGCATATTTCTCTCCTTATTCAGACGAGACAACTTTTTCACTTAAAAAAAGCAATATGATGATATTAGCCATGGTTAAAAACATCTTAGTAATGGATTTGTTTCTTACAAACACTCAGCTTTCGCTTCACAAGATGTGCTTCTGGAGTGGTGTGGATTATTGTGATGTTTTCATCAGCAGTTTGGACTCTCATTCTGACGGCACCCATTCACTGCAGAGGATCCATTGGTGAGCAAGTGATGTTGAAGAAACAAACTCATTTAGATCTCGGATAAGGAAATAAATAGGCACATTTTGATTTCATGCCAACTATAAATATGAACAATTATTTAGCCTAAAGATGATCAAATCAGTAAATCCACATGTTTAAGACTTTACTGACAAAGAAAACAACAGTATTATAATGCTGAATATCTACCTACATTTCACTCCAGTCCTCATCTAAAATTCATGCACAAAAACATCCAGAACACGGAATCAAACATCACAGTTAATCCTCTAAACATCCTTTAACTGAAAAGCACATTGATGTGATCTGTGTGTGCGTCGCAGCAGGTCACAGACACCTCGACTGTACCTCCACTTGGAAATGCACTAAAGAAAATGGCCTTTCCTCTTCTCTATTTAGAGCCGCCATTACAAGATCAGAGTAATGTTCCTCCGCCAGGGGAGAAAGGACTCGGATACTGTTGCCAGGTGACTGTTTCTATGCAGACAGGTTATGTAAGCAGAATTCACAGGATGATGACATCATGCTGAGGGGGAAGAGATCAGCATCTCTTCACACGTTTTATGTCATCATTATTTGTCGAAAGAGAAGTGCACAAACGACGTGATGAAACAGCCACCTGAGAGGGTGAGAAAGAACAGTGAGATGCAGAGGATGCTTGTGCCAGAAAAACAACCCCCAGAGAAACCAGACTACTCTTACCAGCCGTTTCTGACTGCTGAGAACAGCTCAGGCCTGTTTTATGCTGTCAGTAACAAGCCAGTCACTGAGAAGAGAGGAGAAAACAACATCACATGATTCAAATATCTGTGTGTAGAGAATAACATAAAAATGAGTGTAATTAATACTATACTAAATTAAGAAAGATAATCAAGCAAGCAGTGCAGCTTCACTCAGTACCACAATATCACAAATTCATTATATAAATATATATATATACAGTGGGTACGGAAAGTATTCAGACCCCCTTAAATTTTTCACTCTTTGTTATATTGCAGCCATTTGCTAAAATCATTTAAGTTAATTTTTTTTCCTCATTAATGTACACACAGCACCCCATATTGACAGAAAAACACAGAATTGTTGACATTTTTGCAGATTTATTAAAAAAGAAAAACTGAAATATCACATGGTCCTAAGTATTCAGACCCTTTGCTCAGTATTTAGTAGAAGCACCCTTTTGATCGAATACAGCCATGAGTCTTTTTGGGAAAGAGGCAACAAGTTTTTCACACCTGGATTTAGGGATCCTCTGCCATTCCTCCTTGCAGATCCTCTCCAGTTCTGTCAGGTTGGATAGTAAACGTTGGTGGACAGCCATTTTTAGGTCTCTCCAGAGATGCTCAATTGGGTTTAAGTCAGGGCTCTGGCTGGGCCATTCAAGAACAGTCACAGAGTTGTTGTGAAGCCACTCCTTCATTATTTTAGCTGTGTGCTTAGGGTCATTGTCTTGTTGGAAGATAAACCTTCGGCCCAGTCTGAGGTCCTGAGCACTCGAGAAGGTTTTCGTCCAGGATATCCCTGTACTTGGCCACATTCATCTTTCCCTCGATTGCAACCAGTCGTCCTGTCCCTGCAGCTGAAAAACACCCCCACAGCATGATGCTGCCACCACCATGCTTCACTGTTGGGACTGTACTGGACAGGTGATGAGCAGTGCCTGGTTTTCTCCACACATACCGCTTAGAATTAAGGCCAAAAAGTTATATCTTGGTCTCATCAGACCAGAGAATCTTATTTCTCACCATCTCACAACTCCATGCGGGCTTTCATGTGTCTTGCACGGAGGAGAGGCTTCCGTCGGGCCACTCTGCCATAAAGCCCCGACTGGTGGAGGGCTGCAGTGATGGTTGACTTTCTACAACTTTCTCCCATCTCCCGACTGCATCTCTGGAGCTCAGCCACACTGATCTTTGGGTTCTTCTTTACCTCTCTCACCAAGGCTCTTCCCCCCCGATAGCTCAGTTTGGCCGGACGGCCAGCTCTAGGAAGGGTTCTGGTCATCCCAAACGTCTTCCATTTAAGGAATGGAGGCCACTGTGCTCTTGGGAACCTTAAGTGCAGCAGAAATTTTTTGTAACCTTGGCCAGATCTGTGCCTTGCCACAATTCTGTCTCTGAGCTCTTCAGGCAGTTCCTTTGACCTCATAATTCTCATTTGCTCTGACATGCACTGTGAGCAGTAAGGTCTTATATAGACAGGTGTGTGGCTTTCCAAATCAAGTCCAATCAGTATAATCAAACACAGCTAGACTCAAATGAAGGTGTAGAACCATCTCAAGGATGATCAGAAGAAATAGACAGCACTTTTTTACTTTCAGCTTTAATTTTAGTTTAAGTTTTAATATATTTGTTAATATTAGATCGTTTTTATAAATATTTCTGTATAGCTTTCATTTATTTTATTTCAGTTTAGTTTTAGTCATTTTTATTAAATTAAGAAAAAGAATCAAGCAAGCAGATTTAAGAGTAAAAAAATGTGTTTGTATATTTGTATTACAAAAATATTAATTTGCCAACATTTATTATATTACAGTATTTGTCAATATAAAACCAGTGTTATTTTAGTATCATATGATTATCATAATATACAATCATAATATTTATTAATATTTTAAATTAGCTTTTATTTTCATACTTTCAGTTTTCATCTTAATTTTAAAGTTGGTAATATTGGTTGTTTTTAATATTTCTATTTAGCTTTAATTATTTTTTATTTTGTTTTATTTTATTTATTTATTTATTTATTATTTGTTGCCAAGGTGACATTTTTTCTTTTTTTACATTTTTACATTTACAAAAATGTAAATTTTTCATCTAATATTTATATTTTATTTTATTTCAGCTTTATTTCAAATTTACAAAAAAATATTTTTAGCATTTTCAGATTTATTTATCAATAACACCACTGAATAAAACACAATTCCATTTAATATGTTAAACATAAACATGTCTGTATATTTATTGTAAAAATATTTTCTGTATCATTTTAGAGAGAGAAAAATATGGTTCAGTTTCAAAATCATTAACTAACTAAACTCTACTCTCTTAAAACAGGCAGTAAAACATTCATTGATTTTAGAGATTTTAGCAAGAATAAGTGCAGCATTTACCATCACCATCCTTGGTGTCTTCTGGCAGCAGAGCATCTTGGCGATTCCCCAAAACAAAAGCCAGAGTGGCCAGTATGCCGGCGTCCAGCACCCCCAGCATGGCCAGTATGTACGCCCAGTGCACAGAGCAGTTCCCCGGGGAGAAACTACTCACACGCTCCCCACACAACGCCCGCATCTCAGCACACACCCAGGAGTCTGGGAACAACACACACGCCAGCGCCAAACAGAAGCCTGCGCCACAAACACACACATGCCGCTAGGAGTAATGTACTGTCTAACATGTTTAGTTTGGATTTCAGGTCATGAAAAGCTCATTTTCATGAGAAGAGATTCTCAATATACTACAGCTTTGCAGAGAAATGTTTCTTGAGCACAAATCAGCATATTAGAATGATTTCTGAAAGATCATGTGACACTGAAGACTGGAGGAATGATGCTGAAAATTCAGCTTTGATCACAGGAATAAATTACATTTTAAATGTAATACAGTTTACAGTTCTTTAAAATTCAAAAAATATTTCACGATAATGCCGTGGTTTAAATACTGTATTTTTGATGAAATAAATGCAGCTTTAGTGAGAGATCAGTTCTCACCTGCTGTGAGCTGCAGCCGAGCACAGATCTTATAGACGGTTGCTGCATTGCAGAATCTGAACAGACACAGACAGCCCACGCTGGCCCACACCATGGTGAGAGACATGCAGACCCGCACAGCGGGAGACTGGAAGGCAGGGAGTGGGGTTAGGGTGTGAAGAGACCCCCGGCATTCTGGGACAGGCCAATCCGTCTCCATGCAGACCTCAAAGAGGCCCCCGGTCGGAGGAGCCAGACCCCCTCCTCGGTAGTGCAGCTCTCGTGTGCCCACCCATGACGGCTGGATGAGAATGACCACCTGGATCACGGCAAAGCAGAGCGTGCTGACGGCCCACAGCATGCCCACTGCCCGCGTGCTCCGGATGAACTCAGTCTGATACAGACGGGCCACCTCAGACGAGTGCTGCTGCATGCTGGAGACAGTCAGCACAAAGATCATATTAGTATCATTGAGATAACTTTACATTTTTATGTTTTCTGTTTTCTGTTTTCATTTTAATTTTAGTTAAAGTTTTTTATTATTTTTTATGTCTATATAGTTAGTCGGTTTATATAGTCTGTTTAGTTATTTTAGTACAAAGGTAACTTAACTGAACATGAGAAATAAAAAATAGTTGAAATAAAAGAAATAAAATAAGTTTAAGTTTTTTTTTATTTAATATTATTTCTGTAAAATTTTTCATGCAACTAAAAATTATATTTAATGGTTTTAGATTCAGTTAACTATTAAACCCTGTTTCAAAAAACACTGGACAACATTTTTGCTTTTATTTATTTATGGTCCTAAAATTCATGTTACATAGTTTTTATGGTAACACTTACAATAAGGTTAGTTAATGTTAACACACTAACTAAAATGATAATAAAATTCATTTGTTGCCAAGGTTATTATAGTAAACTAAATTAATTTAAAAAAATTGTTACTTTAAATAAAATATTTAAAAAAACATACCACTTGTTTTATTTCAGCTAGTTGCCAAGGCAACATTTCTTATTTTGATATTTTGAACTATATACTATAATAATTTAAAATGTCAATTTAAAACAGAAAAATAACTAATATAAACCACATATGTATATACATTTTTTTTTACAAAAATGACAAATTATATAATAAAATATAATATAAATGACAAAAAAAATGACATAATAAAAATGACAAAAACACAAAATGACAAAAACTAAAATGAAAGCAGAAAATAAAATAAAAATATGAACTAATTTGAACTATTAATAAAAACCATTAAAATAAAACTATTATTAGTTAGTAAAAATACAACTCTTACTTTGTGTCATCTCAGGCCTATTAAATAATATTAACAGATACAATTTTGATCTTAATAGTATATTAGATGTTAACATTTTTAAATTATTTAGAATTGTTAGTTTATGTTAACTAATTAATTAATGTTAACAAATGCAACCTTATTACGAGGTGTTACTGTATTATATGGTACTTTAGGGTAATATCATCTGTACTTTTTTGTGCTTCACATTTATTTACATTATACCTTAAAGAATACCATGCTATTACAATGAAGCATGTCCTTAAAAAAAACATGGTATTACCATGGAAAAATGCTAATACCATGGTCATTTTTAACACAAAAACATCAAAACGCATTTCAAACTATAAAAAGGGACATAATAAACAGCTGAGAGAGCTGATGCCTACAGGACAATGACCTGAAAACCTGATCTCAACCTGGTGAACGATGTCAAGAGATGGATGAAGGGAGATTCACCTCTCTGCTCTGGCTGATTCCAGGTCTCTTCCTCCCACCACAGGAACTGGGTGACAAAAATCTCATTAAAAATGAATGGCTTAAGAGCAGCCTCATGTAAAAATGTAGGAGTGAGTGACATTCATTCTTCTCCTCCTCTTCCTCCCGGTGGGATCACGGCAGGCTGTGCAACATTAAAAACAGGCCCACGCCGCTTGCAACCATCTTCCTCGCACATATGGAGGGAGAGGAGAGTGAGAGACGGGAGGGGGAGTGCAGGGCCATTCTGATTGGGAGGAGGGTCTCTGCACACACACGCACACACACACACACACACACACATACACGCACACGCACACAGACACACACACACACGCACACAACTGTATTTGTATTAACTAATGTAAACAAAGATCATTGTTTGTTCATGCTAGTTAACTCATTAAATGACACCTTATTGTAAAATGTGACCAATTTTTTATTTGTGAACTTATGTTCAGCTGTTCTTTTTAATAGTCAACTTATTTCTGGTCATCGTCATAAAAGCTCTGTAAACACTGCCACAGACACGAAGATATCTCTTTCATTTCATCACGCTGAATGCTCACTCAAAACTGACGCAATCATCACGTTTTCAGACCATTTAAAGTTTTATTTTGACGTGACACAAAGTAGTGATATCTAAGCGGGAGAGTTGTTTCCTTACTTTATGATTAGTCAATAATGTCATCATTTTCTTCATTCAGACTGAGCGCTCGCACGAAAAAAAGAGGCGGGATTTATCACACGAACCAATCACATCCAACCTTGACCGATCATATCCAATTATAGCACGATGGAGGCATTGCCTCCTCTCACGTGATTTTCCTCCATTCATCTCAATGAGGCTCCAGAAAAGTCAAGGCACGCTAAGGGTCTCTGTAGAAAGTCAATGGACTGAAGGGAGGCAAGCCTCCGCTGTAACTTTACCTGCGGGTGTCGCTTTTGGACAGTATTACTTTATAAAAACTAGTGACTTTTAGACTTTTAATATCATATTTAGTCATATTTGCACTGTTTTATTTTTGAAATATCGATTATTTTCTCATCCAACTTTTTGAGGAGACACTGCCTCCCTTGCCTCCTCGGAGGAAACGCCCCTGATATATATA